TTTTATCCTCCTGTATTTCATCCCATGGAGACTGCCTATCTGGTAGTGCCTGTTCTTGTAGTCCCCCAATAGTTTGGGATTTTCCTTCCTCTCCATTTATCTTTGAAGCGTTCTTGCTTTTTAACTCATTTTCTGAATTTTGCTCTGAGGACGAATCTGTTAATCTTTTATTTGACATTTCTGAGTCACTGCTCTCAGAGTAATCTGAGATATTGTCTGTTCGCAGTCTCTTCATGTTTAATTTCTTTTCGTCCTCTTCAGGTTTTCTTCTTTTACTAAGGAAGTGTTTGTTTTTGTTTTTGGGGTTTTCTGTAAAAGACAAAAACGTACCTATTATGTTTCCAGCTCAACACAATCTGCAGAACCTCTCCCTCGCTTCCCAGTAACTGCTCTTACCTCCTCGACCAATATAATCGTATCTCTCTTCTTTCACCTTCTCCTCGTCAGGCATGCTGCTGTCGGAGCCTTTCCTTTTGTTTGGCCGAGTATTGCGCTGCTGCTGCTGCTGGTGAGAATTCTGTTTGGGTGCTGCACTTTGGGAATTCATTGCTGGCCTGGGACTATTTGCTTGCGCACGTGTATAATGACCCTAAAATTAATTTTGTAATTAATGACTTAACACAATTTTGATTAGTGACTTTAAACACGTATATTTAGTATTTGCAATATACAATAATACTTAGATAAAATGAGAAATATATCTACATGAACTGTGTTGCTGTTCTGGTTGGAACGAGACCTTCGTCGTGAAGTGATGCCAATATTTTCACCTTTCAACAAAGAGTGAACGACATCATCTAGAAAGGTCATCTGAACCATAGAAGGATCAACATTTTGAGGCTCTAACACCTGGTTATTGAAAAAGAAAAACAATAATCAGCAGTTGTTCAGCTACTGTCCAATTTATATTTCCTCTATCAGTGTTCATCACCTATCTATTTTGTGTGCTAAAGACTAATTAGAGAAAAGTCTACTTAATCTTGGCAAGCAGGACTGAGGTAGGATTTCTGGAAGGCTGGGAAGAGAGTACAATCAAAGCATGAGCATTTCATTGTAAAGATAATTCCCTTCCCTCCCCTGCCCTTTTTTAAAGTTACCACCGCATCGCTGCTCTCTCCATTTCACTGAAATGTAAACTTCAAAATAAAAGACACTGAGCTCTTTATAGAGAATAATCCTTAAGTAGCAATTAAAATGTATAAATTCTACAAAATACTCATATATATTTCATACATTATAAAAGGTACTGCAGAAACACATTAAAATTGCTTTTAGCAGAAGCAAAACTGTTGAAAGACAATAACCAAAACGACTAGAGGGAAGAACTCTAAGACTCTAGGAGTGATGCTATTGACAGGAGTTGTTTCAGAAAGAAACATTTAATTAATACTTCACAAAGTGAAAAGCTGGCATTTAGAAAAATTATTACAGTAAGCAAAAGGAAAAGAATAGATCTGAACATTAGACTACAGTTAAATTTATATTGTTGTCTATGATTTTGTCAGACCTTTCAAGGCAGACAGGTCATTACTATACCAACATCGAGTCAGTACTCGGGTGTCCTGAAATAGGATTCATTGCTGCCACTAAAAACACCATGTTAATTCTTTTCATAATACTCTCTGCAGATATACAGCTAAAGCCTACCACAGTAAACACAAATTAAGGCTTCAATAAATGCTTACTGCACTAAACTGTGGAACGGGGATACTCCAGTTGCTGGAGAAAAGCAGTTGTTGCTGCAACGCTATGAGATTTTAGATTGGGAAAAGAAATCCTAAACAGAGCTGACAGGGAAGACCAGTTCTGAAACAGAGATTGCTCCATTTCAGACACTTAATTAGTCAAGTAGCGATAGCAGAAGGAAAGCAAAACTGTAGGACTGGAATTAATCATATAATTGCACAAATATTCAGCTTCAGCATTAACTGCTGGCCCAATGGAAAGACACGCTGCACCTCCAGCACCACGAGCAATGCATCTTCCCTGCTGCAAGTAAGCAATTCAGTGCATTTTTCAGAGTATCACAAAAAATATTAAAGCTTGCAATATACACTTTATTGGGGCATGTTTTCTGAGTGTTACGTATCCAACTCACCTGGTCATTCATAACAACCATAGTGCGAGTGAAGAGATCATGATGAGTAATTATACCAGTAAACCACTGGGTGGCAGAATCCTGTCTGTACACTCTCACCCTATAACCATTTAAGGAGTATGGACCTTTAGAAGAGGGGGAAAAAAAAAACATTGAGCAATTTAGCAAAATAAGGTATAAATATTTTTCCTTGATTTTAAACTTCGTAACTCAACATATAATGCGAATGCATTGACTGCAAACTGCAAATGCTTCTGGTACAGCACTGCCTGTGAATTTTACTTTTATTCAGAAAGGTAATTTGAAATGCAAATGGCACATTTAAGTATGCTTTAAGGTCAATTATGCTAACATTTTCAACACACAATTTTCTTATCTAACTAAATCTTTATACATCCATAATGACAAACGATGGGAAAATCCCTGCCTACAAATAGTAACCACACAAAAGTGATCTGAAAGGCTAGAAAGTGGCAGCAGCAGGTTATACAGAAGCTATTTCATAGGCCAGTCACGTGGCCACTGCTTTGCTGGCAAAACCGTTTGCATCGTGGTGTTAGGGCTCTGAATCTGCCAAGTCTTTCCCAAAAGCAACCACAGAGCTTCTCTCTGTTTCAACAATTCAGAGGCAGCTGAGTGATCCAATCCTTACTCATGCCCCACAAAACATTTTAAAAAGCAAACGCTAGCAAGACTTCAGCTCCTGCCTTAAGATGTCAAGTACAAAGCAATCCTGTGCACTGTCCCTTCACCAAGATCAATTGCTTTCACCTCCAAAGCCCACTTCTGGAGGCAGGGATTGGGGAGGATAATTCAGCAGTCCTTTTACAAGTTTAAGATCCAGATATTGAGGTTCAAGTTTTCTTCATGGTCAGGGATCCTAAGGCTCATTGCACGCCTGGTTTCTGCAGCATTTCTGCACTCCAGCAACGCTGCCACTGAGTTCAGATCTAGCCGTGTGGGTTTCACTCCCTCCACAACCAGGCCCCAAAGCGCAGGCCTCGAGCCGGCGTGCAGGAAATGAAGTAAAGCCAACAGGCAGGAACCTACCAACAGCCCAGTCCAAAGGACTTGCTTAAGCCTAGTGCAGTTGCTCAACAGCCCGGGCAAGGCCTGACCGTAACCCCAGGGCTCTCCTGGAGATGGCTCTTGCTGACCCTGTCTCATGCACTAAGCAAGCTCCAGTAGCTGCAGCAACAGGCCAGGATGGCAGAGGTGACAGTTTGCCCACATCCACCCCACACACTCTGTGGGAGAAAGCACTGAGAGACCATAACGACTGCTTTGAATGCCAACATATAAGAGATCTACTGGAGTGCATAAACAGTGTTAATTTAAACTTTTCCATGTTTTTTGCAACCTTAGCAAGACATTTTAAAATACCTTTTGCATGTGATTATCTATCTTTTTAAAGCAGGCAGTAAATAAACAGAAGCTCCATCCCGTTCCCCACATCCACGTCCCTGGCAGCCCACGCGCCCACTGCCGCATGCAGCTGTGGAAGTGGCTCATCCAGGAGAGTGTCCGGGCCGCGCCGGCGCGGAGCGGGGCAGCTCTGGGGAGGACAGGAGCAGACCAGCGTGGCCAGCGCTGCCCGCGGACGCGCAGGACCAGGAATAGAACAAGCTGCATGCGGAGGTCTCGCATTCCTGGCCTTGGAGTAGACTGGGTCCCAGGAGGACACACTTCCTGATGGCTCCTCTCCAGCCTGTCCTCCTCGCGCCCCTGCGAAGCGCCTCTTGCTCAGCCCTCGCCCTGCTGGCTCTCTGACCAGCCACATGCTCTCGCCCCCAGTCTCCAGCGCTTCACGGTAGTCCCAACGCTCCTCCGTCAGCCAGGAGGGAGCGTCCATCACTCCATTAACTTCTGCCCAGGTCCTTTTGCCCTGTGTTCCCTTTCCTTCTTTCCTATTCTATCTTAGCTCCTCCACTCTTCCATCCTCCTGCCATCTGCACAACGATTTTCAGTCTCTGTGTCTTGCACAACCAGCTTCTCCTCTCTTCCCAGCTTTGGTCTCATTTTGGCAGCCCCAGGCCCTGGCTCCCAGCCCTTCCCCAGTCTCTGCAGTTTACGTGACACTCCGTCCTCCAAGCTCCGGGCTGCTCACCCATTCCTCTGTACTGTCCCAGTGCCAATTCCCTTCCTCGAACTCCTTGTTCTAATCGGCGCCTGTCCTTTATCCCAGCCCTTATGCTATCTCCTTGGACATTAGCCTTTAGCTACCTTTAAAGGCCATTTCTTCTCGCACGCTGCTGGGGTGTCCAGAAGAGGGAGGAAGCTGAAGCTGCGGTCGCAGGGCAGCTGAGCCGCAGGCAGCGGCACCAGGGAAGGCCTGGCCCTGCCGCTGGACCTGCGATGGGCCGCGCCGTGGCCGAGCAGCCAGCGCCGCGCGAGCAGCACTGCCCGCTCCAGGGGCTGCGGCACACGCGGGGTTTCCAGAGATTACTATATATGCAGCCTCAAAGACTGGAGAGATATTAAATCTAATAAGGAGAAAAATTTCAAAGATTTGAATTGCTAAGAAAAACGCCTTGCTGACTATGTTCCTTGAACTGTTTTTTATTTTTCCTCAAAGCTTTCAACTTGGCCAAATTTGGGAGTTGCTTTTTCAGCAAGGAAGAAGCTACTTTTCTGCCAAACCTACAATTTCTACTGCAAAACATGCTGCAGTGACTGCCACCCAAAGGCAAGGTCACCGGGGTCAGGGTTTTTTCTTTAGTCTCATTCTGCATGCAGTTCAACAGCTTTGACTAAAATCCTCCCCTCCTAAACCCAACGTGTTTCTGTTCAAATATTTGGAACCAGATTTCAATGCCCTCTGCGATTCTGCTTTCTTCAGCAAAACTGTTTTAACTGCAACAGTCAAAATAGAAAATAGTAAGGTATGACCACTTCAGCACTGTAGATGAAAAGGAAAAGGCTGGATCCTAAAGATCATGACAGCAACATTACATCAACCTTAATAGATGCAGCTGTACAGAACAGAAGTGAAAACGTCGCTTAAGCTAAGGGCAGCAGGAGAAGGGGGATATAGAGAAGGGAGGGAAAGGCAGAGCGGGAGGGCGGGAGAAAGGGAGACTCCCGAGGGGCAGCCAGCGCCCGGTGAGGCACGGGGCATCCGGGTTTGGCTTAGGACACGATTTAGGAACACTTTTAAACAAAAACACGCTCGCTTCCGGGAGTGATGAGCTGTAAATGAGTTTTGTGGATGATGCACTGCAGCTCTTATATATGACTATTTTGATGTTGCTGGAGCTTTTCTACAGTATTGATTCTGTACCAGAGTATATGGAGCCTTTCATAATTGCCTTTTCATTGTTATCTAATGAAATACATTCAATAAGTTCAATTCTAGTTTCCTTTTTATGCAGCCCTAACTTGATTTCTCATCACCTCGCAAACCCATTTTGGCTGCAAATTTCATCAACAGACTATTGACTCACACTGTAACTGATGATACAATGATAAAATCTAAAATGACTAATATGGACATACCAAATACTACCTCCACAAGCAAGCACTTTGCTTTTTGCAGAACACTTTCTCTGTGGCCTTTAAGGATAACTTTATCTATGCAATTAAAAACTCCACAAAAGGAAAGACAAAGTATTCTACTTTTAACTTCAACATTACACTTACCATATTCCTTTGATCTTCTAATCTTAGGCTTATGAAAGCAGACACCAAGCAAACCTCACTCCCATCTTTAAAACATCCGATTATTTACTGCTCCTCTCCGAACCCTGATTTACAGAATAACTGCTCAAGCATTTTTGTCCCTAAGTCGCTAGGTTAAATGCCTCTGTAGAGCTGATTATCAGACCTGCAAAAAGTTAATGAAAGCACTGCAACGTACATAATACTAAAAGTATTAGCAAGGTTGGGTTAACTAATTCAATCTCCTTCATACTAGTTTTCACATAGCTTGTATCTGCGGTGTAAGAAAAACGATGACTGTAACTGATGACTGTACAGTTTGCTGCAACCTTGCAGCATTAGAAGTGAGTTATGAAATCTGAACTGATTTTAAAAGCACTTTTTTCAGCCTCAGAGGGGGATAAATCTCAAAGTATTCTTCATGGGTGACGGAGGTGTGAAGAGCCACAAGCACAACAACTGCACACCAGCTCTCCCGCTCCCGGCAGCCACCACACAACAGTAAGAGCAGCGGAGCACATGGCAGTTTGAAGGGGGCTGAGGCCTGGAGGTGCCATTCACAACAGATTTTTGTGAAGTAGCTACAGACTAACGATCTTCAGCTTTTGTTGCAATCACCAAGACATCAAATAAGTTAAGAACAGTCTGAAAAAGTTATGCACAGCTTCATACACAGTCTTGTTATCTGTTTTAACAAACACTTCTAAAGTACCAAGTTAGAATTACATTCTTCACTATGCCACAAATGCTATGGGACAAATGCCACGCGACTAATGGCCTTAAGCTAGCTAACACAGAATAAAAACAACACAATTTCCCAAATAATTACCTTGCATAAAAATCTCCTGAACCTTTTGTTCCTTTACCCAGGCTTTTACCTCCTCATGTAACTGCGGGTTATCCCTGAGAACTGGGTTTAGACTGTCTACGTCGTCCTAAAGTAGAGATTAAAAAAAGAACCATATGTTATGTTTATTTGAAACATTTCTGTTTATTTTCCTAAATATAGAGTACAGCATTAAGTAGTTCGATGCAATTTTACTGGTTCCCTACAAGTTCCTGTGTTACTTTTAGAAAAATCTTACAAGTGCGAGATACTGCTAAGAGTTATTTCATGGGTTCACAGTATGCCGGATCCCTTATGTGGCCAGGCTTATAAGCTATTAATAGGATCACACTTTCATAAATACTGTCTTACTACAATCTGAATTGACCCTTTAAAGAATTCAATGTTTACAGGTATGCAGCAAGAACTATGTATGTAGTAACAAAAAGAATCAAGAAAAAAATTCTCCATATTTCACATACTTGTAAAATTTAATATGGACATGCATATCGAACAAACATACATATACAGGTTTAAAAACATGGAGATAATTCATAAAACATACCTGTATAATAAAAGAAACAAACACCATTACTAATTTTCAAATATGCAGGCCTTCATCCACAAGGTAATTTAATGATTAAAACACATTTTATTTGTTGGAAAAGATTCATCACTATCTGAATTGGAGAGACTACATCTGGGTTATTAAGACATGACTGACAGCACTGTCCTCATAGCAAGGAAACGCTACACAAAAAGACTGTTCTGTAACCTTGAAAGCATGGCTCAAATCATCGCCTGATTATACATCTATCCCTCCATTTCAGAGCACAGTTGCTATTTCTGCCTTGAGATCTGTGTCAGAGAAATAAAGCTGCTCTGCAGGTTGGTGACTGCTAGTGCAGATGTCTAGTGCAGACGGCAGCCCTGGAAATCCAGAGGAACATTCATTTGTGCTGAAAGAACTTCAGACAGAGCTAAAATGATCAGAGAGACTCTAAACACACAAAATGTAAAACATTTTTATTGGTACTGCAACTGAGATCAAGTGATTTCTTCCCTTGCTCTCCAACAAGTTCCTAATGTCTCGCAATTTATTATGAAGAGCTATAAGATATTAACCAATACTCAGGGAATCGTTCATTGCTGCCAGGCCCCCAAAGCACATTAGCCATTTCTCTCCATTCAGATGAGATTCTTCCTATTAACTCACTATATCACAAGGTCTCGCTTCCTTAGGGGTTTGCTGTTCTCCATTACAGAGAACGCACCAACACTTCATCTATTAAAGAAAATGGCTGTTCCCCTCGCAACGCTTTCAGAAAGAGCACCCCAACCGATCCAAAAGGAACGGTGCTAGTGACCACTACAACGCATGTGACGCAGAGCCAAGTAAAAGGGTAGGCGATGACCACCAGGGCCTCTGCCCGCAGGTGACAGAACCAACTGGCAAACCCACTAACACTACCAGAGCCCAGAAGCGTCCTTGAGAGCGTCCGTCCACATGCAGCAGCGTCGCGAAATCCTTGCTTTCCCCGCGGGGGCAGACTAACAGACGTATTAGCTGCTCTGCTTTCATTTGCAAATCCATCTTTGGATTCGATCCCAAAGACGGATGCAGTAACACTGGAAAGAGGGAATGATTTCCCAGGGAACCCAACAGCCTCTGCGATGAACATTCATCTGCGCCCCCAGGCAGCCTCCTTCGCAGCAGCTGCAGCAGGAGCCGCGTGTGCGGGGGATCTCCTGGGCGAGCAGCGCGGCCACGCGCGCTCCGGCCCAGCAGGACTGAGGCGCTGCGTGCTGGAAAGGCCGCCTCACTCAAACCCGCAGCCGGCACACACGCCCTGCTCAGACCCTCCAGGCCTGCTCGAGAAATCCGTATCCTGACTTCAAGCCTGCACACATTGATCGGGGACCCAGGAATCAGGTCTCGTGCTCTAATGTTACTCTGCTCTCATGACGAGTTCTTTCGGCAACGTTCTCAGGCCTTTGCCTTGTCCTCAACACACTATTTATGGATTAGCCCTGTTACTGGCGACAATACACACCAGGACTCTTCCTTCTTTAAATTCCACATCCCTCTTAAGCACCTTGGCCTTCTTTGAACTTGACAGTGAAGATAATGCTGAATCTACAGACAGAACTAGTCTATCTTCTCTGGTCGATCCTTTACTCAGATGCATCAAGCCTACCAGTATCTTACACCTAAAATGTTTAGTGCAACGCTTCTTGGAAAAGGAGACTACAGCGGCTTTCCTCACCTCGGGTCAGTGAAGAACCTTAGAAAACATTCTTCCTTCCCTCAGGCTGCACTAAGGGAGCGGCTCAGCTTTGGACAGACGAGAGTGAGGGTGGGAATCAAGAAACATGTCCCAGGCTCCTCACCAAACCAAACCAATGCATCGAGGCAGCTATCTTACTTGGATACTATCAAATACATCAATTAGGTATGACTATGAGTGCTATTAATACCTCTCTACAATTAAAAAAAAAAAGATGGCTGGGCTAGCACGAGACTACCTTTCCTTCATTCTCTAGTTCCTGCTCAATCCCTGCTTTCAAACACACAGCCAAGACTACTTTGATGTCATATTTAACAGCTCACCACATACTATAAATCAGCAGAGAGGAGATGAGCTGCAAAGGGCACAGGAGAGGTCAAGGATCCATTACACACACTGCACCCAGGTATGACTGGGATTATAGAAGGAATACCAAAGAGAATCCAACATCTCTGAAAAAATTATCTATACATACATATATAAAAATACATACATGCATGCAAACACACAAAACTCACATTTAATATATCATCAGCAACTGAGGTAAAAAAATCTGCTGTGAATTTGGTACAGTATGGCACTAAAATACAGGTGCAAATCAGTGTGGCAAAGGAAAACTGCACCGGCCAACTGCAAGTTCGAGTCAAAGAATCTAAAAAATGGTTCCTAAAATCTCAACCGTTCCACGATTGTTGGTATGTACTCCATGTACTGAGTATATCAATGGACACAGTTATGTGCTACATGATGTGTCTTATTCTTCTGTTAAATCTGAAAATCTGCAAAACCAAGATATTAATTAGCTCTTGTGTTAAACCATAAGGTGAAACCCTTTAGCAAACTGTTTTAGTGCAAACTGGGGAAAATTAAAAAAAAAAAGACAGAGTGAGCACCAAGCAAAAGGCTGATGATTTGCAATCTCCTCTTAGTATTAAAGATGAACAGATGATTCAGCAATGCCTGATCTTCTTCTTTACCCTACATTTTTATTGCTCAAGAAAAATAACCTATAAAGTACTTCTTTAATCCTGGCAATTGGGAGCTTCATTTTCACCTCCTCCTTGGCTGAAGGAACAAGACTGACAGACTAAGCTACACGAGGATTAAATGCCCTGTTGGGTTTTTCTCTAGTATTTTCCTCATTTTCTCCTAGAAAAGCTTTTCCACAAGTCCTGGACCTCCTCCTCCATGAGGAGGTTGTTGGTTTGAAACCTTTACGAAATGCAAATCAAAATGCAAATAAGAAAACGGTCTGCAATTTTCTTTCTACAATCTGTCACATGAAGTTCTTAATACAACTGATACAGAAGTGGCCCTTGCTCCAAGAAGGATTACATACAATACTGGGAAGAAGATAAAGAGCCTCTGGGCCAGGAAGATGACACAGACGGTCCCTCCTACCCTTCTGGAAGCCAGTCACATGAAGCAGCGTGACTATGAGAAGCTTCTCAACACGTGGCCACTTTTACAGATTTTTGCTGCTGGTCTACTGTTTTTCCACTCTAAAACAGGAATTTACTTCTGGTGCAGTGGACTTTCTGTTCAACTGTCCAAATAATATTTCACTCAGCTGTGTGTCTTTTTAGATGAAAATCCTGACCTGCTGGTGATGTGCTAGACTCCTAAAGCATAAAGAATGAAATAATTTTCCCAGTTAACGAAATGATTGACATTTTCTTCTGAGTAAATCTATTTTCTTCCTTCTGGTACAAAAGGAGGGAGCAGGTTGGAAACTACAGAGCATACCATCAGGTTAGGATACCACTCTGCTTCAACCAGACCCGCTGCTGCCTCTTCCAGGGCCGCTTCTCAGAAACAGGGAATCTTTGTTCAGAGTAACATTTTCAGACAGCTTTTTCAGATGAACATAATTTAACATTCAAAGCCTTGGGTGAACAAGGGCAAATCACTTACAAAACCTCTGAACTCCTGAGTTATGAATCAAGCAAGAATTTCAAAGAGTCTACCCCAGAAACACAACTCACAGCCACATTCAGTATTCGCCTTCGAGCCCCATCCACAAACAAAATACTGTCCCAGACACTAAAAGGCATCGCTGTATATTACAGAATGTGCATGTTATCCCCAAAACAGAGGGTGTTCTTAAAGGTTCAAGTAACCAGAAGCCCCTTCTCTGCTTTGGATGGTAGGACATGCCTGTGGAGGGATCACTAGCACATTTCCATAGCTCTCTGACTTTCCAACAAGACTCATGATAGCAAAGTAAGGCGTTTCCTCAACATTCAAAATACTTTGAGGTATTTCTTCCCAGAAGAGTGCAAAAACAAGTTCATTTTAAATTGGGAGGCAAAAGCCTTGAGCACAAAACAGAAACTCAAAAATGGATTCAGAGAACCCCTCCCTCACCTCCCACATAATCAATCACATAGTTCACAAGTGCTTAGGAGGGCATGGAAACTCCAACATCAGCTGTCAACTTTTACTTTTCCACGAAGAAAAAGAGAAGAACCTATGATTTGTATTATAGGAAAATTACTACTGGGGAAATAGTAGCTTTTGGCATTCGAAATGCTTAAATTAGAGCCTTGACGACGAAGACTCAACACACACTATGCATCAGAACCTGCAAACACTTGGAGAAGAGCCTGCCCTGGCTACAGTGTCTGTGCATTCGGCTTCAATGCATAAAAGACATCATTTTGCATCAGCAGAATCTCATTTCAGCCAGTGTTTTACAGAAAAAGACTAAGTAGATTTTGCAGTCCTTAGAAAGGTCAATACCACATTAGTGCTCACCATCTGTGGTTTAATTAACTATAGCTTCCTCTGGCTGCTTAGAGGTTCTCCGATGATTTAGGAC